GACTGTTTTAAGAACTGGTAAACCGAAATGAAACGTTGAGTTTCATGGAAGCAGGCCAAGGCCCAAATTGAGGCTGTAGCGCCAAAGGATATATATTTTATAAAAAGGTAAAGGTATCCCTGTAGCAGGCCGTGGAGGCTCACAGGGTTGTGAGACAGTCGGCTCACAGATGGCGGTAAGGTTGTCAGCCTTACGCGCCGGCCACCCTTTACCCCCAGGAAGATTCCTGATACTCATTTCTGTTATAGGCTCTGTCGACCGCAGGGTCATAGTGCAGCTGGAAGGATTAGGTAAATTGAAAAATCCAGTGACCTCATCTGGAATCTAACCCACGGCCTTCCGGCTTGTAGCTTAGTGCCTCAGGCAACTACGCTACCGCGTGCCCCCATATTATGTGTATCTATGTTGGTTTATCCACCCCTTTAGGCTCCAGGTGCTTAATTGTAAGGGTCAGGACATTGAACAGAAGCAAGAAGGTGGAGGAGGAAAATACACGAAGGAATAGACGATGAGATAGAAGGAGAAAATAAGAAGAGGATACGAAGTAGAAGGAAACCAAATATATGAAAAGGAGCAGATGGAATATGCAGAGAACGAAGAGGAAAGGAATAACAGGAGGAGGAGGAGGGGTGAGAGAAAAAGGAATACGAGAATGATATGGAGTAAGAAAAGGGTTAAGTGAGAAGCAAGAGAAAGAGAAACGAAGAATTGAAGACGATGGGAAGTATGATGAGACGAATATTTAGGTGAAGAAGGTCAAAGAGAAGGGAAGGAATAATAGGAGTATAAGAGGAAGGAGGAATAAGAGATGGAGAGAGGCCATAATAGAAGAGTAGCGACATACGGATAAGAACAGCGAAGAAGAGGAATTTTCCATCCTGACGCATTGGATCGGATGGGGTTAATGAGTTGGAATCGGGGTGGAAGGCAATTGTTGTGGCCTATTTTAGGTGTTATTACTTGCGTGGAGGGACCGGAGTGAAGGCACAGAAATTCTGTCAGTGTAGCTGGTCTGACTGGAATGTGAATGCAGCCTGCCCGACCATCACTTCAGTCGGTTTGTATCACGCTTGTAGAGTTCCTCTTATTTTATATTTGCTCTGAAGATGACTGCAGGAATGTTTTCCAAAGCGTTGGCACACTTCCAGTCGAAGCCCTTTTGTGAGATTTTGGAATTAGAGTAGAAATGCTTTCATGTTAGGCGGTCCTTGCATCCTAACCAATATTGATCTCAAGAATGCAGTCTTCTGGGATGTCACCGTGTAGATATTTTGTTAACCGACGTTTCGGAGGAACGCATCACCCCCATCTTCAGGGTATAAGAAATCCGCGAGCGATGAACCAGATTGAGTCTACAGACACCTGCTCACGCTGGTTCATCGCTTGCGGATTTCTTATACCCTGAAGATGGTGGTGATACGTTCCTCCGAAACGTCGGTTAAACTATATACACGGCGCCACATCCCAGAAGACGACAATCTTCATAGTCACCGCCGTGAAAACCTCAAATATTATATAATATTGATCTCAGTTCAGTTTGTTATGACGTTGTGTAGTGTTGTAGGTAGATATCAACATTTCGGAGGCACATGCTGCTGCTGTCTTCAGGGCGTCCAAAACATTGATACCCACCTGCATAAATATAGCGATGTCAAAACAAGAAGATTATAATCTGAACCCTCAGCGCCTTGAAAATCTGACAACTTGTAATGATGTGAGGTTTTTATTTAACCAGTTGATACAAATGAAGATGTTTTCTCGAATGCGACGGTGTATAGTCTGATAGAAGTTTCCCTACTTTTCGGAAGAACGCAACGCCTCAATATTCATGATCGATATGTAACCCAAGTAAGTATACCGCAAGTGGGCCGCGCCATAGCTCAAGCGGTTAGTCGCTGGCTCCCCACCGCGGCGGCCCGGGTTCGATCCCGGGTCTGCTCAAGTGGGATTTGTGTAGGACAAGTGGCGCTGGGGCGGGTGTTCTCCGAGTACTTCGATTACCCCTGCTAATCTTTATTCCACCAAATTCTCCATCATCATAATCACCCTGGGCAGGCTACAATAGGCCAATCAGTGGACGCCGTGCCGAGTGGACCCAGTTGGACTTCACCCACCACTAAGCGAATTAAAAAAAAGTATACCGCAAGTAGACTAAGACACCCATTGGAAACATGGTTCAAATATAGTAACTTGCTTGGCTTAATTTTTGATCCTGATAATGGAGGTAGTATTTTACCTGGAAACATTAGTATATTTCTACCATACTACATGGCTTCACTTAAATTCAAAGTGAAGAAATGTTAGGTAAGCGGGAACAATTTGTGGGTAAGGAAACACGAAGTAGGAGATTTATACGGGAGCACAGTTTATCTGCTCTGTACGGGCCTTGAAATGCGCGGTTTCAAAAGAAAGTTTCATTTTCCGAGAAGGAAGATAAATGGACTTGCGAATAAGCAAAAGCAATAATCGGAAAATCTTCAGACCAATGACAGCTGTGCGAGTTTGATAAAACAATAATGTACGGTTGTGGAAGTAGATGTTTGTGTTTCTTGGCTTGTATTGACTTTCATGTTAAATTGAATTTTGCTCACAGCTGACCTCAGGCGGTAATACGATACTGTCAGATCCTTCAAGAAACATTGTACTCTCTTGCACCAAACAATAACAGCTATGCAATTCGTTTTGCTGGTGGAGAAAACATTACGTCTGCATTTATTTCAGAAAATACTTTAAAAAACAAGCTGTGAGACCTGGGATAACAGGAGTATAATATTAAAATAAATCTTAAACAGTGGGTTCCGAGTAGAACTCAGAATCACTATTACAGAATTATTTAGTATTATTATTATATTTTATTTTGTTTTTGTAAAGAACTAGCAATAAGTAAGAGCCGGGAGAGCTCAGACGGTGTAGAGACGGACTAAGGACTGGACAGCCCGGA